TGCCATAATAGTTATATAAGAAAACAGTCACTAGGTGGGATTTAACCATTGATTTTCTTGCTCCACTTTTGTGACTGCAAATTAGTCAGCTAAACATATTGGCTTCCTCTGCAGAAATTATAAGGCAGAGACTATCATAGGTTATGTGTATATAATTTGGCACTGTTTGAGGCGAGTGAATGTATCAGCGAGTGAGTAGCAAAAACAAAAATGACGGCAACACTGTGCAGTTGATATAGCACTACAACATGGAAGAAATAGTCCCATAGAATGGAATATATGGCACTACAGAGCAAAAGATATGGCATCACAACGTGGAGAATATGGCACCACAGAATGGAAAACATGGCATCAGAGCATGGAAGATATGGCAGCACAGTATGGAAGATATGGCACCACAGCATGGATAATTTGGCACCACAGCTTGGTAAACATGGTACCACAACATGGAAAACATGGCACTATAGCATGGGAGATATGGCACCATAGCATAGAAGATATGGCACCACAGCATTTTTAGATATGGCACAAGAGCATGGAAGGCATTGCTCCACAACACAAAAGATAAACTAAAATACGTTAAAATTAATTCATTCGTAAGTTCTGACAGAAAACCAGATACGCAAGAAAAAGATCATTGGTACTGTTAGTCACGATAACATACGTCAAGTCAAACAGTATAACATACTTCAAGTCCCGATACGCTGAACTTCCTTCCTTGCTCGTGGCAAGTGAAGGAGATTATGTTTATTGTGTTTATCTTCTCTCTCAAGATAAATATTTTGTAATTTCAGAAATATGTTTATAATAATCAAAATACTTTGCTGGGCTGGTATAATGAATGATGTTAAGAGGTGCCGTGAACCACTTGGAGATCCTGGGTACAACAACTGATCACCTGGCTGTGATGACAGAAATGTTAACCTCATCACCTGGCTGTGATGACAAATATTTACCTCATCACCTGGCTGTTATGGCAGCAATGTTTAACTGATAAGCCAATTGTGATAGCAGAAATGTTTATCATATCGAATTGCTGTGATGGCATCACCTGATCAGCTGGTGATTAGGAAAGTTATGCTAATCACCTGGCTCTGATGACAACAGTGTTTTCCTGATCACTGGCTGTGATTGAAGCAATATTTCCTCATCACTGGCTGTGATTGCAGCAATATTTCCTGTTCACTGGCTGTGATTTCAGTAATGTTTTCCTGATTACTGTCTCTGATTGCAGCAGTGTTTCCTGATCACCTGGCTGTGATTACATCAATGGTTGCCTGATCAGCTGGTGATTAGGAATTTTATGCTAATCACCTGAATGTGATTGCAGCAGCGTTTTTCTGATCACTATCTGTGATTGCAGCAGTGTTTTCCTGAGCACTAGCTGTGATTGCAACAGTGTTTTCCTGATCACTAGCTATGATTGCAACAGTGTTTTCCTGATCACTAGCTGTGATTGCAACAGTGTTTTCCTGATCACTAGCTGTGATTGCAACAGTGTTTTCCTGATCACTAGCTGTCATTGCAACAGTGTTTTCCTGATCACTAGCTGTGATTGCAACAGTGTTTTCCTGATCACTATCTGTGATTGCAGCAGTGTTTTCCTGAGCACTAGCTGTGATTGCAACAGTGTTTTCCTAATCACTAGCTATGATTGCAACAGTGTTTTCCTGATCACTAACTGTGATTGCAACAGTGTTTTCCTGATCACTAGCTGTGATTGCAACAGTGTTTTCCTGATCACTAGCTGTGATTGCAGCAGTGTTTTCCTGATCACTAGCTGTGATTGCAACAGTGTTTTCCTGATCACTAGCTGTGATTGCAACAGTGTTTTCCTGATCACTATCTGTGATTGCAGCAGTGTTTTCCTGATCACTAGCTGTGATTGCAACAGTGTTTTCCTGATCAGTGGCTGTGATTGCAGCAGTGTTTTCCTGATCATTAGCTGTGATTGCAGCAGTGTTTTCTTGATCACTAGCTGTGATTGCAGCAGTGTTTTCCTGATCACTAGCTGTGATTGCAGCAGTGTTTTCCTGATCACTAGCTGTTATTGCGGCAGCGTTTTCCTGATCACTGGCTGTAATAACAGCAATATTTAGCTGTACATCTTCCAGGGGGCGACACAGTCAAACGTCCAGCAGTAAATAAGAAATTGCATTTAAGTTCTTCTTGTTTAATCGGTGAATTTATTATTATTCCTAAAACGTAGAATTAACGAGGTTAATGCATAAGTTGAAGTTAAAGGATTTATCGAAAATAGACTTGAAGAGCACTGGAACAGTCTTCAGTTCTAAAGTGAACAGTGTTAAAACGCTTCGGTTTTTGAGAGAAGCTTGAGGAAGACTTTGCAATTATTGGATTCCATTAAAGAGAGACTAGGAAGAGCTTCGGAGCTTCGAACATTGCAATACCTATTAAGTACTTTGGTAGCGGTGGCCATCAGCACCCTGGCGGAAGATCCTGAATTACACAGGAAGTCCAGTAAGGGAAGGTCCACCCAGAAAATAGATTTTAGTAGGTGAACTAGCGGGAGACACGCTAACACTTTCTCTCTCTCTCTCTCTCTCTCTCTCTCTCTCTCTCTCTCTCTCTCTCTCTCATACCACGTACCCACATATTCCAAAACCTGGCATGCAAATCACCTAGCATTATTACACAGCACGTGAATCAGATTTGTTCTCTCCTCATGATAGCTATTTGAGCCAGATGATAATGAAGGTAAAGTGATTTGGCCGTGAATTGTGAACTACAAGGCAGCAATTTCCAAGCAGGTGAGGGAGAAGCGCGTGTCACGAGACCAGCTCCAGTGATTGACTTTGTGTGGGGGGGAAGTGAAGACATGTCAGGTCCTGACTGACAGCAGGAGATCCAGGAACCAAAGTTTTCTTAGCTGTCTCTTGGGAAGGTACCACTGAGGTGCACACCAGAGCATGGATCGCATTAACGCTAGGAAAGAGATCTTCCTCAGTTGTCTCGGGGATCAGTCCCTGGTAATGTTTTTTTTTTATCTTGGTGGAGGAAAAAAATTAAGAGAGAAAGGGTTAGATAAACAGATATATGAGATAGATGCAGAGATAGAGAGAGAGAGAGAGAGAGAGAGAGAGAGGAGAGAGAGAGAGAGAGAGAGAGAGAGAGAGAGAGAGAGAGAGAGAGAGAGAGAGAGAGAGAGAGAGAAAGAAAGAAAGAAGAGAGAGAGATAGATAGACTTACAAAAAAATATAAAATGAAACCTTGAGAGATGAAAATGCTGGCCCACAGATGGCTTCAACTTCATCCTGTACCCTACTTATATGTCTCATAACAATAAAAATGCTTTCAAATGAGCTGATGTAGGTAACAGCTCTTAGCTTGTCAATAAAGCTAGGGATCCTTAACCTGTAAATAGCTGTCAATAAAGCTAGGGATCCTTAACCTAACCTTGTCAAACCCTGTGATAAAAAAAAAAGAAAAAAAAACCAGTTACGCAGACAGACACATACGCTGATAGCAGAGTGCGTAAGTCACTAATTCTATGGCAGCGTAGCACAAGGAAGTGTTTATGGTCATATTTCTATAAAATAGAAACTTCGCTTCTTCCTCTAATTTTATGCCAGTGACTATATCTTCACTTTAACATTAATTCATATAAGAGAAGAAATTGCGATGCTATCAGAAACACCAATCAGGAACACCAGTCAGGAACACCAGTCAGGAACACCAGTCAGGAACACCAGTCAGGAACACCAGTCAGGAACACCAATCACCAACTCAAGACTGTGCATAATTGACTCTACTAAATAGCAGTCGAGGTTGTACAATCCATGAACAGAATTATACATGGCATTCCCATTATGTTTCATGAGAAAAGATTCAACTATGTTCCTTTCCATGAGGGAAATATTGGGTACAATTACTTGAGCTGCTGTCCACCACGGCGGAGAACTGCAAGTCCTAGCATGGCTAAAAACTGCATTCACCTCCTGAGTCATCTTAATCGAGTACTGAAGTTGGGATAGTCCATGGTAGGAGAGGTGCGGGTGACCAGCGGCCCTACAGTGTTACGGGTCGACACTCACACACTTCTACCTTGTCACTGAGAGAATTTTACCCTCCTATCTGTTGCTAGTTACATAGCTCCTGACGATACCCGAGAGTGTGAGAGATCTTGTGCTCTCTCTCTCTCTCTCAATGGTTGTTTTGCATATTCTGATATCACCTGTTTACTGTGATTTTATTGCATATATATATATATATATTATATATATATATATATAATATATTATATATATATATATATATATGGTGTGGTGTGTGTGTGTGTGTGTGTGTGTGTGTGTGTGTGTGTTGTGTGTGTGTGTGTGTGTGTGTGTGTGTGTGTGTGTACAGCAGAACTGGAGTTTTCTGACATATTTTCCCTCTGGATGCAAACCATAACACAGTCAACTAAATCAAAGGCGCCTATTTTTACTGTTTAGTGGGGAGGGGGCAGCATGGGAGGTGAAATTTGTCCATATATTTTTCCAGGGAGCATTTGTGGTCACAGTGGTGCCTGTGCTAACCTTCCTATGGTGTAGAAATATACCTAGTTGGATGAATCTTATTGTGGCTAACTGGTCTAGTGGCTAACGCGACGGGCTGGAGTTTTGAGACTCTATGACCGCGGGTTCAATCCCGGCCGGGGTATGGTTTGTTTGCAATCGTGTCATTACGATTTCTTGAGTCAGCTTGTGATTGTGAGTCGAATGCTCTAACGAGTGAGCTAGGCGGTACACAACCACTTGAAATTGGAATCAGAATATTCGATGCTGGGCGGTTGGATATGTGGTCGGAATTGATTGGAAATGGTTAGATGTGAGATAGGAATAACATCGTATCCAGCCGACTGTTACCTAGCCTAACCTGGGTTAGGAATAAAGAATGTGAAGCAGCTGGATGTGGGGTGGATGGGGGGATGGGGAGCGATTGGATGTGGTGTAGGAATGGCGTGGGGAGCAGAGGGGAAGATGCAACAGGTGGTGTTAGTAGTCGCGTGGACGTGGTTGAGGGAGTGTGTACGTCACTCCGCCTATCCTCGACCTGACAGAAACTGTCTACTAACCAACAAAACCGTGTTTAGCACGACTTACACTCCACCTGTGTACATAAAACTAGCAATATACAGAGATAATGCATACGTATTTTTTGTGAGAAACTTTGGTAGTGAAATGTGGACTGAGTGGAAAGATGCATTGGTATAAAGCAATGGTATTGTGAAATTGATCTGCAGTATGGGAAGGTAAGCCGGATGCTCGCCTTAGACAGTTTTGTGAAGAAAAACATGGAAAAACGTTTAGAGTAGACATCAACGTGATCCACCGCCCGAAAAAAAAATCTTTGGGCTCCCTTCCTTCACAACTCCAGACATTTATGTTCCAGAGCCAAACACTACATCAACACCACCGGACACTACATTCATAACACCAGACACTACATTCATAATACCGAACACTACGTTCACAACACCAGGCAATACGTTCACAACGCCAGGCAATACGTTCACAACACCAGGCAATACGTTCACAACACCGCAGCAACACCAGACACGATCGCCACAACACCAGATACGACCACCACAACACCAAACACCACAACCCCAACACCAGATACGACCACCTTAACACCAGACACGACCACAACAGCTGACAAGACCATCACAACACCAGACAGGACCACAGCAACACCAGGCACAACCACCACAACAAAAGACACTGCCACCACGACATCAGACACAACTGCCACAACGCCAGACAGGACCACCGCAACACCAGACACGATCACAACACCTGACACGACCACCACAACAGCAGACACGACCACTGCACCACCAAGCACAACCACCACAACACCAGACACGACCACCACAACCACCGGACACGACTACTACAACACCAGACACGACCACCAACACCTGACAAGGCCACCACGACACCTGACACGACCACCACAACATCAGACACGACCACTGCAACACCAGACACGACCACCACAACACCAACACGATCACCACAACACCGGACACGACTACCACAACACCAGACACGACCACAACACCTGACAAGGCCACCACGACACCTGACACGACCCCCACAACATCAAAACACGACCACTGCAACACCAGACACGACCACCACAACACTAGACACGACCACCACAACACCCAACACTACCTCACACTACCACCTCAACGCACACGAAAAACATACATAGCCCAAAGATAACTGAGTACTCAGTCAAAAAATACGTGAAGTCAGTGACACATTATTGCCAACCCGGAAGATAAACACTGAAATCTGTCAAGAAAACATTGTTAGTAACTTGGAAGATACACAATCAATTCATCATAGAAACAATTTACGAAGATGGAGAATATCTGCGTGGTAAGCATTATTTTCGTGTTATTTACAAGTTTAATTATACCAGCCATGTATGAACATACAGTTAAAACTTGAAGTAAGTTGTGGGTCTAAGATGTGGAAGAATTAACTGATAAACACCAGAGCGTCCATTGTTGGATGAGAAGCCTCATACATATGCATGGATGATTGCGCGTGCGCGAGAAAGGAACTCAGTATTAACTACGGTAAACATAGCTTGGTGAGTAAACACACACACACAGTTTTAAGAAGAGGTATGATAAGGCTCCTGAATGAGTGGGTCTAGTAACGACCAGAGAAGAGGCGGAACCAGGAGCTGTGTATCGGTCCTTGCAACCATATGCAGGTATGCACATAAAGGTGAATACACTCGCACGCGCGCGCACACAGACACACACACACACACACACACACACACACACACACACACACACACACACACACACACACACACACACACACACACACACACACACACACACACACAGGAGGCATAGGACCCAGGAAAACAAGGAGATTAGTAGAAGAGCCAGAAACGAGTATGCGCAGACAAGGAGGGAGGCCCAGCGACAGTATGAAAACGACATAGCATCGAAAGTCAAATCTGACCCGAAACTGCTGTATAGCCACATTAGGAGGAAGACAACAGTCAAGGACCAGGTGATAAGGCTGAGGAAAGAAGGTGGAGAACTCACAAGAAACGATCAAGAGGTATGTGAGGAGCTCAACACGAGATTTAAGGAAGTATTTACAGTAGAGACAGGAAGGACTCTGGGGGGACAGACCAGATGGGGACACCAACAAGGAATACACCAACAAGTGTTGGACGACATACATACAGATGAGGAGGAGGTGAAGAAACTGCTAAGGACATCGATACCTCAAAGGCAATGGGACCGGACAACATCTCTCCATGGGTCCTTAGAGAGGGAGCAGATATGTTGTGCGTACCACTTACCACAATCTTCAACACATCCCTGGAAACTGGGCAACTACCTGAGGTATGGAAGACGGCAAATGTAGTTCCCATTTTCAAAAAAGGAGACAGAAAAGAGGCACTAAACTATAGACCTGTGTCATTGACGTGTATGTATGCAAAATTATGGAGAAGATTATCAGGAGGAGAGTGGTGGAGCACCTGGAACGGAACAGGAGTATAAATGCCAACCAGCACGGATTCACGGAAGGCAAATCTGTGTCACAAACCTTCTGGAGTTTTATGATAAAATAACAGAAGTAAGACAAGAGAGAGAGGGGTGGGTTGATTGCATCTTCTTGGACTGCAAGAAGGCCTTTGACACAGTTCCTCACAAGAGATTAGTGCAGAAGCTAGAGCATCAGGCGCATATAACAGGAAGGGCACTGCAATGGATCAGAGAATACCTGACAGGGAGGCAACAACGAGTCATGGTACGTAATGATGTATCACAGTGGGCACCTGTGACGAGCGGGGTCCCACAGGGGTCGGTCCTAGGACCAGTGCTATTTTTGGTATATGTGAACGACATGACGGAAGGGTTAGACTCAGAAGTGTCCCTGTTAGCAGATGATGTGAAGTTAATGAGGAGAATTAAATCTGATGAGGACCAGGCAGGACTTCAAAGAGACCAGGACTTCAAAGAGACCTGGACAGACTAGACACCTGGTCCAGCAAATGGCTTCTCGAATTTAATCCTGCCAAATGCAAAGTCATGAAGATAGGGGAAGGGCACAGAAGACCACAGACAGAGTATAGGCTAGGTGGCCAAAGACTGCAAACCTCACTCAAGGAGAAAGATCTTGGGGTGAGTATAACACCGAGCATGTCTCCGGAAGCACACATCAATCAGATAACTGCTGCAGCATATGGGCGCCTGGCAAACCTGAGAACAGCATTCCGACACCTTAGTAAGGAATCATTCAAGACACTGTACACCGTGTATGTCAGGCCCATACTGGAGTATGCAGCACCTGTTTGGAACCCGCACTTGATAAAGCACGTCAAGAAACTAGAGAAAGTACAAAGGTTTGCAACAAGGTTAGTTCCAGAGCTAAGGGGAATGTCCTATGAAGAAAGATTAAGGGAAATCGGCCTGACGACACTGGAGGACAGGAGGGTCAGGGGAGACATGATAACGACATATAAAATACTGCGTGGAATAGACAAGGTGGACAAGGACAGGATGTTCCAGGGAGGGGACACAGAAACAAGAGGCCACAATTGGAAGTTGAAGACACAAATGAGTCAGAGAGATAGTAGGAAGTATTTCTTCAGTCATAGAGTTGTAAGGCAGTGGAATAGCCTAGAAAATGACGTAGTGGAGGCAGGAACCATACACAGTTTTAAGACGAGGTTTGATAAAGCTCATGGAGCGGGGAGAGAGAGGGTCTAGTAGCAACCGGTGAAGAGGCGGGGCCAGGAGCTAGGACTCGACCCCTGCAACCACAAATAGGTGAGTACAAATAGGTGAGTACACACACACACACACACACACACACACCGACAGAAAACAGGACATTTACGAATGAATACTCGAGAATAAGAAGGGAAGATGAAAAAAAAAAAGTTGGAAAATAACAGCAGGAAACGCCAGAAGTGATGCAGAACAACTGCAGAACCACTGAGAGAGACAACGACTGCAAGTGATTAAGTTATAAGGCTGATGAAGGAAGGAGGGGGAGATAACACAGGATGACAGAGAGGCAAATGAAGTTCTTGCAGAGGATTTAAGGACATAGAATAAATCACAGAGCTAGCTGAAGGCAATGAAGTCAGACCAGACTAATAGGAGTTAGTAAGTCTCAACACTATATATGAAGCTACTGATGACTTTTAGTAAGTTTACTCAGGTATACACAAATACAGTTACATAGATTATCATACATGGCAGCATATATGTAGAGAACTCGGGATAACCCAAAAAAGTCACACACTGACTAATTTCCATTGGGGTCTTTAATATAAGTAAAACAATGGGACCCGGTAGAGCAGCTGCCAAAAAATGGAAAAAACCAGTGTGGTCCCTATTAATGGTAGGAGTCACAGAACTGCAAGACAGTATCCTTAATAAGTACATTATCATAAAATTAAGAGATTACATGGAAAATGAACTCTCTCAAGACACCGGAGTATCTTGAGAAGATTCTCTAAGAGAAAGTCAGCACGGATTCAAGGATGGGAAAACCTCTCTAACAAAATATATTTAACAAAAAGTTTTAACTTAAAGAAAAATTCAGAGAAGGTTTTGCAAATAATTCGGATATTGCGAGAGTGCGTAATGTAATTAAATGATTCACGATGATGTGACGTAGACGTAGTAATTTCGTTGCATAATCAATAATGCAGTATATTGTAATCATGTACAACTGAACTGGCATAATGTTCGTACAGTGATCTTTGATATTTCATTACCATGAAGTTTCTACTTAAGTTCAGTTGTACATCTGGGATATCAAAGAGGTTTTTATTTCTTGAAGTTTGTTTGTGTATTGTATTACAGCTCTATAGGAAGAGCTTTAGGTCTGATACAACATTTGCATTAAATGTGCAGACATCGAGCACAATAGAGTGGTGTCTATACTCAGTAAGTTTAATTGTTTGTATTTGAGTGTGTGTTTCGTCTGTCTCTCGCGTGTGAGATAAGTCTTGTGATAACTATATTGTCTAAAGTTTTCTACCCAAATAACTACATCACAGTTTGCGGAGAAAACTCTCTAGCTATCAGTTCTTCTCACTTCTTCTGAGGCGCGTTGTTTCCTGTCTTTTCGTCTGACTTCTGGTTTTCAAGCTTTTATTTTTATCCTATTCGCGAACCGAAGCGTCGTCTGATGTTTCTTTAAATTGTGGACTAGTTGAGAATGGCTTTAGAAAGTGTGTTGTTATGTATGTCCCACCTTATGTGCCATAAATGAGATGGATCGATCAGTGTAAGCAATGAGGATTGCGATACTTAGAAGCTAATCTTTGAGAAAAATACCCACTATTTTTTTTTAAACTATTTGTGCGTTCTGGATGTGCATACTGATTTTCAGTTTGCTTTCTAAATAGAATCCACATAATTTACTTTTCTTATGTCTACGATTATTAGCATCATTTATTCTGGTACAGATGGGGTCAGTTTTTTTCAAATATTGTTACGTCATTTCACTGCTGATGTGAACTTGTTGGCTCTCAACCAAGTGAATATTTTATATATAATATATATATATATATATATATATATATATATATATATATATATATATATATATATATATATATATATATATATATATATATGTAGGAGTGAGGAAGAGCCAGTTGTGAGTGTGGGGGAAGTTCGTGAGGCAGTAGGTAAAATGAAAGGGGGTAAGGCAGCTGGGATTGATGGGATAAAGATAGAAATGTTAAAAGCAGGTGGGGATATAGTTTTGGAGTGGTTGGTGCAATTATTTAATAAATGTATGGAAGAGGGTAAGGTACCTAGTGATTGGCAGAGAGCATGCATAGTTCCTTTGTATAAAGGCAAAGGGGATAAAAGAGAGTGCAAAAATTATAGGGGGATAAGTCTGTTGAGTGTACCTGGTAAAGTGTATGGTAGAGTTATAATTGAAAGAATTGAGAGTAAGACGGAGAATAGGATAGCAGATGAACAAGGAGGCTTTAGGAAAGGTAGGGGGTGTGTGGACCAGGTGTTTACAGTGAAACATATAAGTGAACAGTATTTAGATAAGGCTAAAGAGGTCTTTGTGGCATTTATGGATTTGGAAAAGGCGTATGACAGGGTGGATAGGGGGGCAATGTGGCAGATGTTGCAAGTGTATGGTGTAGGAGGTAGGTTACTGAAAGCAGTGAAGAGTTTTTACGAGGATAGTGAGGCTCAAGTTAGAGTATGTAGGAAAGAGGGAAATTTTTTCCCAGTAAAAGTAGGCCTTAGACAAGGATGTGTGATGTCACCGTGGTTGTTTAATATATTTATAGATGGGGTTGTAAGAGAAGTAAATGCGAGGGTCTTGGCAAGAGGCGTGGAGTTAAAAGATAAAGA